CAGTTTACTCCGTGCCGTTACTCAGAAACATGGGTGGACACACGCCGACACAAACTCTGTAATATCTTTTTTATTCACACTCACATGTGGCGAGTCTGCCTTCTCTTTAAACACTGATGGAAGGAATGAAGGTCTGCGTTCTCACTCTCTCTCTCTCTCTCTCTCTCTCATACACACACACACACACACAGGCTCCATCATTCACATAGACACTGTGGCTACTGTCTGCTCCAGGCCAGAGCAGGGGCGACCAGGGGAAGCAGCCCTCCAAATATAGCCCCTATGTGTCCTTGTGTAGTTATTAAGAGATTTACACCACCTCAAACGGCTGAGGTCAGGGAAACGATACATCCCACCGCTCTCTGGTCGAAGAAATAAAAAGGCAGGGGGAAAAAAACACCAAAAAACGATAATTGGTCCGTTTTTTCTGCGGCCAGTGGTGGTCTAAGATGAATTGGCTGACTCTTTATGGATGAAAGTGATCATTCACCTGCCCACAAACACACATGTGCACACACTCGAGCCTATGGCTGTGGATCCTGTGGCCCAGTTCCAGTTGGCAGGGACGCACGGCGTTTGGCGACACACTGTTCGGAGCTTCCAGTAGGGGGTTTAGTGGGCTGTGAGAGGGTGATTTCTTTCTTTTTTTGGAGGAGCGGAGGCCTGGGGCTCATTAACCCCGGGGGCCCTCAGTCGCTGTTAACACCACTAATCAACTGGGAGGTGGCTCGAAACTTTATTTTTTCTTTGTCTCTTGGATACTTATCAGAAGGACGGCAGCACACGCACAAATACTTCCTCTCATCTTTAAGACACTTCATAGCTGCCATAGAGATTGTGATATGGCTTCATATTTCCCCCTCCCTTATCTGCATTCCATGATAGGCAAGTTTAGATTAGATTTTAGAGGCTTGCTATGACTATAACTATACTGAAGGAAAAAGGAACTATTTAGTCATTATTTTCTTCTTTTTAGTCATACAAATGACTGATTTTGGGCATACAGGAGTTATTGTGAAGTACACCTATACTGTTTGTCATTTAAAGGGGTATTAAGAAATGAACTTTAAACTTTTCGCCTGTGTATTTCTCTCCTGCACATTGTCTCCGTTATTCGTTGTAGAAAAGTGTTTTTTTTTCGACTATCTAAATCACTTAAATCTCTGCAAGACATCCCCAAAGACTCTCCACCCGTATCTTCCGCTTAAACCTTGCGTTAATGCGCTCTCTTTGGCCAGTTGACCCGGTCTGTAGCCACAGCGTGTCTGCGCCAACCGCCAACATTTGACTTCTACTCTGCAGGTCCGGGGGCCAGAGGGGTGCCAGCACTCCACGCCGGCCCCATTTCAGAGGGGTTTCTGTGGTCGGATGAATATTTAATGTGTCAGGGTGCACTTAGGAGAGAATGCCCTTGTTTTTCTCTCTATGATATCATAACCACAAGATAGAGCTGGGAGATGGGGGCCAATGCACACATGAGGCCTAAACAGCAGCGCTCAATAAGCGCCCAGAGCCGAAATAGATGCTAAAGGTTGTAGATTTACTAGCCTCCTCTCAGAGTAGCGGTCGCATCATCTGAAAGCATTATGGAAGTCTATGAAGAACAAATAAAATGCTTGATATAAAATGTCTGGTATTAACGATGCACTGAGAGGCGATGGCTGTGTTTTCGAAGAAATGGGTGTGCCGTTCTCAGCCCTGCTTTGTTTTGTGCGTGTGTGTGTGTGTGTGTGTGTGTTTTTAATTTCCTGATAGTGTTTTATCTTTGCTGCAGAATAACTTGAGATGTTACTCTGCTCCTTTGCTCTCCATGCTTTGAAGAGCACGCACATACATTCACGTGCAAGCGATGTGAAAAAGTGTGAAGCTATTTTTCATAAGGTTACACCCGGTGCTCAAAGACCCGACCACATGAACAGCAAACTCCACTGAGTCTTGCCCAGCCTTCGCCTCCATAAAGCCCGTATCAGCTCAACACAGAGACAGTGTTTGCTCAGCGACGTGACAGCCAGGCCTTAAACGCCGACGCCACAGCTGAATGATCACCCAATACGACCTGCTTCCTTTCCTTCATCCCCCCCCCCCCCCCACACTTTTTTTTTTTTTCCTCCACTTCTCTCTTTTCTCTCTGTCTGCCTCCGTCTCCATTGAAAGAAAGAAACATATGTTCCCATCCAAAGGGAGACACATTAAACACAAGCTCTCTTTAGTAAATGGCTGGGCGCTTTTTCAGGGGCAAAGTGAAACTCTATCCGGACAGCAAAGGGCAATACGTGCTTTGGCCCCGACCCAAGCCTGCACTGAATATATTTGAAGTGTAAATATTTGTATTCGACGTATAAATGGACTTGATAGGCCTCTGATAACACACTAGAATTGATTTGGAGAGCATGTATCTCGCTCAACACTGAAAACTATGTCTGGACTGTAAAGTCTATGTAAGTATGCTATAGGATTACACACAAGAAATGTCTGGCAGTGCAAGAAGAATTTGTGAGTCCAATATGAAGGCTGACTGTGATACTGGCTGACTGTGATGGCAGCCTCCTGCAGGCTGTGAAATGTTTGAATATTGTCGTGTTGGTGAGTCAAATCAATAGTACCACAACTTAAAAAAATGCATCTATCTTCACTCTTAAAGTAAATCCATGCTGTATGTGTTAAGTGTTGAAAAGATGCGAACACAAGAGCAGCCTGCTTATCTCACTTCTGAATCCTCGCAGTGCGATGTGGGGCGACAGTTGAACATGTGTTGCAGCGAGGCCTACTTGCCTGCGAGCAGACTTCCGTTTGCCCTCAACAGACGCTGGGGACGTTTCGACATCTGTTGAGCAAAGACTCGTACACCTGTCTTCCTCTTCCTCCTCGCTAGCAGACCTGCCCCCCCCCCCAACGTTCTCGTTCCCACCCTGCCTCTTTCCGCCACTCTTGTCTTATACTTCCCTTATCGTCCTGTTACTGGCACCGTATATAGCGCAGCTCGAAAAAGCATCTCTGCAGCGGTGTGTTTTTCGGCACCGTGTTTCCCAAGGCCACCAATCACGCTGTTGGGTATTTACTGTGGGACGAATCAAAGTTCTTGTTTTGAGGCTGACCCTGAAGGATGTGGGTTTCACCCTTGGCTGGTGAT